GTGTTAGACCCGCAGGTGCCTGGGTCAGCAGCAGCGGGCACCAGACAGGCCTCCAAGAAAGTTGGAGATGGTGGGCTGCAGCACACAACCTCCCTGTGCCTGAAGAGACCCTGTCCCAGCACAGGTGGCTGACAGGTGGCCTAGCACTCACGTGCACACCAGCACATCTGGGAGGAGCAGCCCTGCCTTTCAGGCACACATGTGCAGTGCTTCTGGACACGGACAGCCTCCACGTTTCAGACAACTGATGTCAATCAGACCTTGTCCTCAGACCACAATGTAATTACATTAGAAATTGAAAACTAAAAAATAACTGGGGGAAAAACTCAAATGAAAAGTCAAACATTTGGAATTATAAGAACATTTTCATCAACTCAGCAGCCAGAGAGCAAATCAAAGTGGAAAACAGGGTCTACCTAGAAGTTAGAGGCCTGGCTGGAGGGTCACCAGTGGAAACACTTAGGCTTCACGGTGGCTGGGCAAAGGTAAACTCAGAGCTGACAGGCTGCACATCTGACTGAGCCAGATCAACAGAGCAAGCCCAGAGCACGTGGGAGGAAGGAAGAGGGAGGCAAGAACAGAAATGATGAAACAGAAAAGTAAAGACTCCCAAGGACCATGAAGAATGAAACAGGGGCAGCACTGGGAACATGGCAGAAATGCTATAGCCATCACAAACAGCTAGAACAAGGTTAAGGACAAGGTCACTGGGAAAATACCTTAAAGATTTTTATGCCTATAGACAAATTCCTATAAAAACACAACTTTCCTACAAATCAGGAAATTCGTCCACAGAGAAAAATGAACCTTTCCTGAAAAGAAGGCCTGTCCAGAGTGGTATAGGAGAGACTGAGCCTGGCCTCTCCAGAAGCAGAGTCCCCTGCCCCACTCAAACGTACCCGTGGTTCAGGACAGTTGGGAATACCTTACCCCCAATTCTGGGGCTCCTAGCACCAGGCAGGCAGAAGGAGATGGGGGCAGGTCAGCCTGAAGCCCTGAGTAGCTCTGACAGAGCCCGCTGAGTAAGCAGTGAGCACCACCTAGCAGGTTATTTTAGGACTATCTGGTTGCTTTAATGTTAAAAAAATTCCAGCAGTGCAATTCACTAAATTAAACAGATTTGAGAAGCAAAGCCATATGCATCAGAGGGACACAGTGAAAACATTTGGTTCCAGCTCCTCTCACCAAGAGAGCAAAGGAACCTCACCTAATGAGCAGAAGCCTCCAACAACCCCAGCCACTGCCCCTGCTGGGCAGCTCAGGGTTCCTGAAGACCCCTCCAACCAACCCATTTCTTCAGGCAAGCCCCTGTCCCCTAGCCTGACCTCCTGCTCTGCTGGGGGCCTCTCCAGGCCCCTCTCAAGCACCTCCCCCCACCATGCCCCAACCAACACCGTCTCTGCATCACAGACACTCTACCTGCCTCCCATTGCACTCACTGGCAGACCATGGCTTTGGGGTCTCCATGTACTTGACTGTGCACACACAACCCTGAACACAAAGCTGTCGATGGGTGACCTTGAGCCTAGGCAGGCCCTCAGTGTGCACAGGGCCATCCCCCAGCCTGGCTAAGTGGCCCCCAAGACCAACACTCACTGGGCAGGGCTGCAGGGTGGATGCCAGGTGCATGTGTGCAGGTGTGTGGGATGCGCTGCCAGCAGTCCAGGAGCCCCTCTCCAACTTGTAGGGGCCAGAACACTGTGGTCCCAGGAGGGGCCGGCAGCTGGGAACAAGGCAGGAGGCTGACTGGACACCATCATGGTCACCCTTATTTCTTCTGTGACCTTTGCCCCAAGTCAGTGGCGGAGGGGGTTTGGGGCCCAGAATAGTGAGCCCCACTGGAGCCCACTTAGCCGCCTCAGAGCCACTGCCTCCTATTTCCTCCACAGAAATGTGTTATCAGCGTGCATTTCTCCAGCAGGCAAAGGGCTGCTTTTGGCCCTGTTACTACACACATGGGGCCCAAGGCAAGCTAAGCAGAGCGTTCCATAAAGGGTGCAACCTATGGCCTCCACGGACAGAGGGTGGGCACAGGCAGAGTGCCCTCCACACCTTGTCTTTACCTTGAGGGCCTGAGATGCCAGCTCCTTCCCAGCAGCTTGGCTGGGCTGAGCAGGCACTGCCCCTGGGGACGTAACCCTACATCCCCCTCAGTTCTGCTCAGGAGGCCGGGACAACCTGGCACGAGGACCAGGCTTCCCTGGGGACAGGAGCAACCCCACATTCTCCTCAGCTGTGCTCAGGAGGCTGGAACAACCTAGCACGAGGACCAGGCTTCCCTGGGGACAGGAGTGACCCCATATTCCCCTCAGCTGTTCTCAGGAGGCCATGATAACCTGACATGAGGACCAGGTTCCCCCTGGGGAGAAAGGGCAAAGGGAAGCCTGGTGGATCCTCCCAGAGGGAGACTGAGAAGGAAGAGGAGGACCATCCTGCCCTGCAGTGACAGCAGCCTGAGCCCGGTGCTGCCAGGTTCCTCCTGCCAAAACAGCAGGCACCATCCCCACTGTGTGCAGATTGGAGCCCAGCTGGGGACGCCCGGTGGAGTAGAGTGCAGGAGAGCCGCACTTGGTCCCTTCCCAGGCCAGCATGCCTGGGTGGGGGAGCCTCATTATTACTTAAAGGCCTAAAAATACTGCCGGCTGTAAATCAGCCCCTGCTTCAAGGCTTGTGGGCCCTGCCCCAAGCGTGGGAGGGAAGGAGCAGGCCTGCGCACCACCTGTATCTGAGGACAGCCCAGGCCCAAACTGCCATGGTTTGCAGGAAAGCCACCTTGGCAAGCAGGATAGGGTGGCTGGTGTCACCACAGGCCTCTACGCACCTCTGACCAGAGCAGCTTCCTCATCACCATGGCAGCCCCCTGGCCATGCCCCAACCTGGGCCAGAACCTACCAGGAAGATCTCTGGCCACAGTGACTCTCCCAGCTCATGACCTCAGGTGCCAGGAATGCATAGCACGGCCACCATCTGGTTCCGATTACCCACGTCCTGGTGCGGGAACCTCGTCCATGTCTGGGCTCCTAGCACCCGCCTGGGAAAGATTGATCTGGGCTCATTAGAGGCTGTGGCGGAGGATGCAGGGAGGCACATCCCAGCCCATATGGCTCTCAGTCAGGGTGGCAACAGAGGTGGGCGAGGACACCTATGGGTACCAAGGGCCTCGAGGCCACCTCACCTGCTCCTGATTAGCACCGTGCCCTCAGATGGCTCGCTTCAGCTAACTGCCCCTGGATGTGCCCTCCAGGCCTAGGCTGCACAGAACCTGAACTCTCCAGGGCCTTTGAGGCTGATGGTGGATGTGATATTGGGCAAAGCAAGGCTGGCCAGCCCTTGCCCTGGGGCTATCTCTCCCCTCCAGGACCTCTCATGCACAGATGGAGATCTGTCCCCCTTTGATGTGCACTGTAGGCTGAGGCCCTGCCCAGCACACCCACCCTCACGTTCCTAGTCCTCCTTCTGCTTTAACTTTTGAATTCATTAATACCTGGTCCCCTCTTCTGCTTTAACTTTTAAATTCATCGGCACAGTAAACTTTGTTTCTGGATTGGAACGTGCCCCATAAATTAGTCTTAAGTTCCAGCAGCTGTTTCCCAAACACCAGGAGAGGCCAGGCAGATCCGGGCCAGGACGGCAGGAGGGCCCCTCCCAGGGTCCTAGATGTGGAATGGGGATGGGACTCCCAGGGAGCCACCTGCGTCTTCAGTCATCCGCAGAGTGGGGCTGAGCGAGGCCATGCCACAGCAGGATGACCCGGGACCCCCTACCAGGCTTGACCAGTGGGAGCGAGGTCCCCACGCCCACCTGGCCAGGTGCAGCACCAAGTGGGGCTTAGCTCCTATGTCTGAAAATGACCACTGCCCTTTCGACTCTTACCCACACCCACAGCCAGGCCAGCTACTGAAGGTCCCAGAGACCCTTCCTTCCAGGTGGGGGCACGAGAAGCTCCACCCTCAGAACAGGGCCTCTGTGACTAATGGGCTTATGAGAGACTGTGGTGTGCCCAGTGCAGGGCTGCCAGAGCCTTGGAGAACACAGGCATCAGGACCCATCCTGCCCCTGCCCTACCATGTGCCTCAGGGAGCCTGGTGGGGTGGGACTAACAGGCCAAAAGGGAGCCCTTTCCCATCTGAGGGTCCCAAGTGATTCCCTCCCTGCCATCTCCTGTTATGAGGTAGGGGCTGGGCCTGCACAGTGACAGAGGGGGCCGCCTCCATGCCCCACCCCCAGTGCTCCAGGGCAGAGCACCCAGGGGAGGCAGGGTCTAGACCTGTCAAGTGCTTCCACTAGGGCCAATGGAGGGACACACACCCCCAACCCAGGCCCCTGCCCACACCAGGTCTGCATCCACAGTTTTGCTCACTGGCCTTGGGTAAGCCTCTGTCTACCAAAGCTCTCGCAGATGAGGGTTCCTTGTCCACCCCCGGAAGCCAGGGTGCACCCAGGCTGCCCCTGGGGGACAGCCCAGCACACAAGGAGCACCTCATCCCCTGTGGTCCCACAGCTGCACCAGAGGCGGCTCCCCGACTCCCCTTCTGCACCAACCCAGGCCATGCTGTCCAGATGAGGCCTGTGCTGAGCCCAGGTGCCCTTCCTGCCAGGCCTTCCCACTGCGCATGAGCAAAGGTACCATGGGGGCAGCGGCTCCACGGAGTTCTCCACATTGGTTTTCTTTTTTTTTTTTGGATTAATCAGTTCCTTACTGACCAAATTCCTCTGAGTTTTCAGAGGGGTTTGAGCACTCCTGGACTCTACGTGCCTTTCTCTGGACCAACAAGACGTGACTGCTGTTAACCCGAGGCCTAGGAGAAACCCAAGCCATGTACACAGGCTGCCAGCGCCCACGCCCCCTTCCTCCTGCGCAGGCTGGAGGGCCCCACCCGCCTCCGAGTGATTGATTAGCCAGGGATCTGGAGCAGCTCCTCTTCATGCCTAAATATTGTTTCAGCCTATCAGACTGTTAGTGCAAAGCAGGATAAATGAGCCCAGGGCCCAGCACTGACCTTCAAGGCCTGCTGCCTGTCCAGGTTCCAGACAGCCAGAGCCTTCCCCGCGGAGCCTGAGATGCCCCGGGCCTGCTGGGGGTCGAAGTCAAGGCCCATGACAGGCTCCTCATGGCAGGTGACGTGGCTGCACATCTTCCGCTCTGAGATGTCCCACAGGGCCACCGATCCGTCCTCATAGCCAGCCAGGAGGAGCGGGCGGGGGCTGGAGCGGGCCTGCAGGGATAGCAGAGCAGTCAGCTCCTAGAAGGGCTCTGTCTCCAGTCAGTTCTGGGGGAAGTCAGTTCTGAAGACAGCTGTCTCTCCCATCTTTCAGGTGGCTGTGACAGGCCAGAGGCCCTGCAGCCCAGCCCCTTCCCTAGATGGTGGAGCCCGAGGAACATGGGGTCAGCGGGCACCGCCTGCAGTGCCACTTCCTGCTGGCCCCAGGACCTGGCATGTGCCCGCACTGGGTCCTGCAGGCACTGCAGTGTGGCAGAGTCCGCTTCCCTCTCATGTTCAGGGATCCAACATCCTGCCTCCTCTTCCCTGGGCCTGAGACTGTGGTCTCCCCTGGCTGGGGCTGTCACCTGTCTGGAGTAGCCAGCCGGGAGAAACTGTGAGTCTCTCTCAATGAAAAATGAACTTTCTGAGCTTTGTCAATGTGGCTGTTGCAGCGCCTGCCCCAGGAAGGCTGGTCTGAGCTGCCGGCGCTGAGCTTGCACCCCAAGCACCGTGATGAATGAGGGAGCGGGTCAGGGGGCTTTGAGGCCTGGGCAGGCGCCTCGTTTGTTAAGCTCTGCAGTGAGTGCAGAAGAGTGCTGCAGATTCCACGTCACCCTGGGGACACAGCTGTCAGTCCCCAGGTCCCAGGGTGTCGGCCTGAGAGAAACCTTGTGTGGCTAAGGAGAGGTGGGCTGGCTAGGGGCACAGGGCATGTGCCCAATAAGCAGATACCATGTCTCCAAACAGTGCAGGGCCCAGGGATCCCCTGTGCACCAGCAGGGTGGTGATGGGAGCCAGGGAGCCAGGCCTGCAGCCTGAGGTGGGTCGCCCTGACCCAGAAGGGCTGGCTGGGTAGAGGTGGGCAGGACACAGGCCTGCACACAGGTAAATGCACGTAGGGAGACCAGGCTGGCCCAAAGGCATGAGTCCTCCCACATATGAACAGCTTGTAAAGCCACTGTGTTCCTATGACAGTGCAGTCCACAGTAACAAAACAGAAAGGTGACCCCCAGGAGGTAGACCACAAGTCTCCCAGCTGCCTCCCTGCACACTAGCCGAGTTGTCACTGCACTCTGCCTAGAGTCTTACCACAGGGGAGAGCGCTACCTAGGCACTTTTCAGGTCACCTGAGCGGATATGGTACCTGCAGAAACATACACTTTCCCCCTAGACGTGACCCAGGGAACTTGAAGAAGTGCCGTACCTCTGCCTGGAGCTCCTTGCAGGCAGCTGGGCCTCCCGCCCGAGAGCATCCAAGTGTGGACTGAAGGCAGGGTCAAGGCTAGGTGAAAGCAGCCTAAACACACTGCACCCCAACCAGGGTCAGCTACCACCCTTGCTGTCAGCTACAGTGTAGCCAGGCCGCCGGGCCCACCCCAGAGCCTGACTTCCAAGAACTCGCCAGGGGCTCACGGGGGTCTGCTTCCCTAGGGGCAGTGCTCTTTGTGGCACCTGTCTCCAGTTTTCATCACCTCTGGCCTGCCCCCTCTCCCTAGGGCATGTGCCTCCTGTCTCCTGAGCTGAAGGGCCTCAGGGCCCCTCTCATCACTGACGTCAGCACTGACCAGTCTCTGCAAACTAATGCAGGTGGGAGCCTCAGCCCATGCTTCTGGGTGGTGGTGTAGTTAACACAGGGCCTAGGTATGACTGACCACCTGTGGTGGTGCCACAGGTTAGCTGGCCTGGAGGGTCTCGTCCTGTGGCTGCCTTGCTCTCTGCTGTGCTCTGGGTTCCGGCACCACTCATGACAGACACTGCAGTGGACAGCACTGTTGAGGCTGGGCCTTTGATGACCACACCCTTGTGCCTCCTGAGCTCCAAACGGGAAAGATCTGGAGTCATGTCATCTCTCTTTTCTCTTCCCCCTTTCCCTCAGCTGACACTGGAGGTCAGGCCTAGCTTGGTGTCTCCTCTTATGCCTCAATGAGCAGCCCCAGAGGACACAGGAGGGCCCACGGGCAGCTCCCAACTTGGCAGGGCTGTGAGGGGCTCTGGGCTCAGCCCTGAGGCTAGCACCAAAGACTGTGCCTCAGGGTCTCAGGATCTGACAGAGACCCTGACCTTTTATACAACAGTTATTCTTATAGACCAGGTCACCTGCTTTGACACAAAATAAGAATATACTTGAGTGTTAAAAAAAAAAAAAAAAAACCCTAGTCACCACTTTGCCCTACTCAGATTAGTAAGGTGCACCCTGGACCTTCAGGCTTAGGGATAAAAAAAAAAAACAAAAAGGAACATTTCCAGTTGATGTAGGTTTTTCTTGGTGGAATGCTTCACGCTGGATCTGTATCATCCAACAAAAACGTGATTTGTCCTCTGTCAGCTGTATTAATCACCTTAACAAGTTGATACATCCCTTTCTGCACATTTTTCTGCTGGAATTCTACATGATTGTGCAATGACCCATGTTTCCCAGGGAGCTGAACAGGAGTGGGTGCAGCCTGGATGTCCTGTTATGCTAAAGTCCCACCGAGCACCCCAGAGCCGCCTGGCCTGGACACACAGAGGCCAGTGACCCAGGCACCACCACAGTCCCTGAGGCCAAAACCTAACAGTGCCAAGAGCTTGATCATTTCAGGTGGGTCTCTTAAAAGTCACCCCACCTATGGTATCTTTGCAGAAGCACCTCACAGGAGACCCCAAATTCCAACTTGAACATTCTGTCAGCAAGATAGAGCAGCAATCCTTCTGGCCATGTGAAGATACCAAAGCTTGGAGGAGCCTCTCTGGGGTGCCCATCCTGGTGGGCACAGACCTGTCTAGTCTAACTTTCCTGAAGAGTTCAGAAAGCTGGCAAGGTGCGAGGCAGGACCACTCGCTCCTGATAAGGGCTGGGTAGGGCAGCCCTTGCAGCTGATCAGAACAGGGAGGTGCAGGGTTGCCTGTTGCTGCAGGGCAGGCTCTGCCCAGTGACCTCCCAGGACAGGTTTCTCAGCAGTGACAACACGGCCAGGGCTGCTGGAGACTCCTTACACCAGACTATTTGCTCTGTGGTCCCAAACACAGGTAGCCTGAACGGGGAACATGTGTGCACCCTCTGACCAGGGGTGGATGAGGAAGAGGCGAGACTTAAGGAGGGCTGGGGTCACTGGATGGGCTGGTGGATGTGGTGGGCACAGAAGGATCCCTCCCAGCCATGTGCTGCAGTATGCTGGCCTGTCCAAGCTGGGCAACGCAGCCTGGACTGCTACTGCAGCCCCAGGAGACACCTCCTGACCCCTCCAACCAGAAAGCAGAGTCAAGAAAGAAGGAGATGGCAGCAGATCAGAAATTCCGAGTGTGGCTGTGGGGAGAGGCACTGTGCACTATGTTCAACCCACTCTAAAGGCAAAGGAGTAACAAAAACTAATCCCGGGCAGGGAAGGGCCGTGTAGGCTGGCCTGGTTAGTGAGCACACCCCTCCCAGCTTGGCAGGGCCAGGGCCTTGTGGGGCTGTGGGGCTGAGTGTTAGGGCACATGGCTCTCACGGGAGCGGGCTTGGCCACTGGCCCCACATCCCCCTCCTCAAAGCCACCCACAGGAGGGCACCACCCTCCATGGGATGATGCCAGGAGCCCCTCATGGCAGCAGCAGTGGAAGGCAGAGGGCCGGTGGGGATACTGAGGCTGCAGGAGGCGGCTGCACAGGTCTCTCCAAAGGGGGTGTTGCCCGACTGGCTTAGCATTAAATCAGACCCTGAATGGGGCATGACTCAGGCCCGGCAGGCGTGGCTGGCAGGGCGTGGCTGGCGCACGCTCAGTCTTACCTGCCACAGCCCCAGGCACATGGGCATGCCCAGCTTGGCATCTGCGTCCGGCTTCAGGGTGCACACTGACGTCTTGGATGGCATCTCTAGAATCTGAACCTGACAGGAAGAAAACAAGTTGATTTGGGCTGACGCCAAGTCAAGTCTGTGCTATACAAACAAGAGACTTTTAAGGCGATTAGCCAGGGCTGCTCTGAGTTTTTGTCTGCTCCCTCCCCACGAGGAGCTGGGAGCTGAGGTTCCTAATTAGGCTGCACTGGCTCCTGGGCCCCAGGCTAGTTGGGCCCTTGCAAAATGCTTGTATCATTCCCGGGGGACCACACGTCACCACCTGACTGACTCTGGCCTCTCCCAGATTTTACTGTCTGGGCTGAGCAGGAGGCCCAGCTCACACGCCCCTGACTCTGCTAAGCCAATTCTATTTGCTTCTCTTCCCTGGTGTGGGCCTCTATGAAGGATCTCAGGGTACTGATGGCACAGAGTGGCACAGGCCAGGACCCTGCCATACCTGGACTGGGGGATGTGTCTTGCCAGCCCATGTAGTCTAGGCTCACCCACAGCCCGTCTGCTGAGCAGCCAAGCTGGGCTCTGCCCAGCCCCAGACTGTGGCTTAGGCTGTGAGGAACAGAGCCGGGCAGCACTGAAATGCCACAGCCCAGTATCAGGCCCCAGCTGTCCCTCATCCTGAGCACCTATCTCCCTCACCCACCCAGCAGGGATGGGATCCCAGATGACGGGCTTAGGTGCCCCCCTGCCCTTCCCCTGTGAACTGGGGGGGCTCAACTGGCTCAGAACTTCCCATAGGAACTATGGAAGTGGCTCTCCACCAGTAATGTGGTGGCAACATGTAGGCACCTTGGACAGGAGGCCTGGTGACATGGGCATCCCCTGATTTGCACAGGAGCCTGCAGTGCAAGGGGCTGGGGCATTGAGCAGAAAGAACTCACACCAGCCGGCCCAGCCTCTCTAGTCCTGCCCTATCGTCTGGAGGAGAGTGTCTGAGCAGTCCATACTGGGAAGACCCCAGCCACCTTCACTAGCTACACAGTCTGAATCCCAGGTTGGCCACAGTGTGCTGGCAGCTGTGCTGAGGGCAGCCCCCAGGCAGGGTTAGGAGCCAAGCACATGGCCTGGTTCTCCCTGCAACAGAGTTCTGCCAACAATGTAGGAGCCCGATGGGCAGGGGCCACTGTGTGCTCACCAGGGGCCAGCAGTGCAGCTCAGCCTTGAGGGTTGGGTTCCTGCCCCTACTCAGCACCCGTGGGGTGGGGGGCTCATAGCTTATCTTGGAGCCACTGCCCCCGTGCCTGCCCCCACACACGTGTGCACACACACACAGAGACTCCACACCCTCACCCAGGAACCCAGGGCCCTTGCCTCAGGGCAAGCCTATAACAGAAGAGGTCCAGGGCAATAAATATAGCAACACAGTGAGGGGAACAGAAAAAAACATGAGTGACAGAGAGATCACTGTAGTCATGAACTCAGAAGAGGCTCCAGGAGAAGGAGTTGCTGGAATAGCAAAGTAGTTACAGACCTCAGGAGCACCACAGTGGGGAGACTGGCCTGCAGCTACAGGTGAGGGAGATAAACCTGAGATGAAGCCAGCAAGATGGCAAGTGCCTGCTTGAACACCAAGGATTCCTTATGAAAAAGTTGCTCCAGGGTAAGCTCCAGCACCATGGAGAGACACATAGGAACAAGAACACTGGGAAACCAAGACCCAGAGGAGAGTGGAGACCCAGGAGGAGCTGGAGCGGGCTCAGCCTGTGTCTGCTTCTGCAGGGTGACAGTGACTCCAGACCCTTCCTGTGAGAGGAGGCGGAGGTGGGCTCAGCCCATCTCTGAGCGTCTCCAGCACAGGCCCCCGTGAGAGGAGTGGGGCCACTGTGTGGGGACCTACAGGTAACCAGATGCCACCTCCATGACCCAGCATTGCTTCTTTGATGTTTTCACGAAGGGTCTGTGGGAATGTCAGCGTAGGTTGTGAGGAGGTGGTCTGGGGCATGCAGACCACCTCAGGGTAGCTCTCCGTCTGTCTCACCCTCCTCCATGGTAAGTGTCTGAAAACGTCTGCTCCTTTGCAAAATGGGGGGAGGAGCTGGTTCCTGAGGTTCACTGGAGGAGCCAAGGAGGGAGCAGACACTGGTGATGCCACCCACAGAGCCACACACAGCCCACAGTCAAGAAGGGTCCTGATCTGAGATGCACAGAGCGGGGCTCGGGGCCTGGGGACTTGGGCAGGCCAGTGAGGACAGGGCAAAAGGCAGGCAGACGGGGACGGTGAAACACAGGCAGCCCGAGACTCATAGTGGGTGCAGTGGGGGAGTGTGGATGGAGGCACCTCCAACCACATTCCAGTACAGGGATCAGGGGGCCCAGGCCTAGCACCTGGAGCAGGCCCAGAGTCCAGCAGGCCTGGACCCCGCTGGGCCTTCCAGGAAGGGAGAGAAGGTCCCTGCCTGCACCTGTGTTTGGCACTTCCTGCAGACTCCAACAAACTTCCCACCTGGTGCTCCACTCCAGCTTCTGTTTCCAGAAGGGAAAATAGTAGGCTTGGGCAACCGTGGCCACCCAGATGGCCAATCAAGCTCCAGAGCACTACCTGGGCACAGGCCAGCAATGCTCTTCCAGGGTCTGGTCCAGGCAGGTTCCAGGTGGGAAGGTGGAAGGGAACCATTCCCAGGACACAAGATCCCAGACTGGCAGCTCCAGAAAGATACAGATGCTGCATGCTTGGGGAGCCCAGGGACGTGCGTCCAAGCAATGGGGCAGGCAGGCCAACTGAGGCCCAGAAGCAGCCTAGGGTGGTGGGAACAGGCACACTGGGCAGAGGGTAGGGAAGACCCTTAGGCCAGGGCTGTGGTGGTGGGAGCTGATACCTGCCTCAGGGCAGCGCTGAGCACTCTTCCTCACATTACTGAGACTCATAGGAGGGCTGGACAGATTGGCAAGTACACGCAGCTCCTAATGGGTGACTTACACACAATCGTGAACAAATAAATGCCTGTTACCGGCTCATTACTTATAAACCACACCTGCCTCAAGGCAGAATGACTCTTCCTGTGGGGGGGGGGGCAAGCCCAGCACTGAGGGGGCCGCCTGCCCAGCCAGGGTTCACAAGGACAGGAGGCCCCACCCAAGTGTGGCGAATGCCATCTTCCCACACCTCACCCCCCCAGGACCCCTGGCTGCACCAGGACAGCTCCACTCACAGCTATTCCACAATTTCCCTTCAGCCACTCTTAGCTCCTCGGTGATACCTCCGCTCAGCTTCCTGAACGCTCTCCTCCAGCCCCAGGCAGATCCTCTGCCTCCAGGGGTACAGACACTGCTGTCAGCCTGGCCAGCCCCACATCAACAACACTTCTAGTCACTCCAGTGCAGGCTCCACTGACAGTGATCTCCTCAAAGCCCTATTCCCTGTCACCTACCTGTGCCCTGGGGGCTGCAGTTGCACCATGGTGCCAACCCCCAGCTCCTACATCCCAGTCATGCCCAGTTCTGGGCCCCAAAATATCACCACCCCCGCTGCTCTGGCTCAGTGCCCCCCAGCTTCACAAGGTCTCTCCTACCACCTCTTCCTGTGCAGGTCCAAGGCCCATGAGGACCTGAGAGGTCTCTGCCACCAGCCAGTCCCATTGGCCTCAGGATCCCATGCCCTCTCCCCCACAGCAGCACTATCCTGGGTGCCCAGGCCCCTTCCTGACTATCATGTTGCCCTGGGAGGGCTGTTTCACCAGGCCACCCCTAGGCAGCAGGGACCCTGCAGGTGGGCACAGGCATGTCCTCAGCAGGAGGGCAGCAAGCCCACCTGTCTCAGAGAATGAGGGGCCTCGGCTAGGCTGGTTCTCACCTCATCGCTGCCCTTCCCTGGCACGGCCAATGTCCAGTGTGGCCACCCTCCAGTCAGGATGGCACTTCTGCAGAAGCCCACGCTCTCTAGGTGTATGGAGTCCACGACAGCGCTCCGGCCTTCTGCCAGGTCCCACAGGCACAGCTTCATGTCCCGGCCCTGACTTCCAACAAGAGCAGACAGTCCTGAGACCCCCCAGTGAGTATGCCTCAGGCCCCACCTGGACAAATGGCACTCGAGGTCCTGAGGCGTGGGCATGTTTTCAAAGTGGCTATGCTGAGTGTGGGTCACAGCTGGCCAAGTGCCTCCTCTGAGGGAGCTTCTCCGCTCAGTGTGTATTCATGAGTTGGCAGCAGAGGACCACAAGGACCAGACACACGACCAACTGTGACCAAGGGCCTCTGTGGCACATGAGCCACGGCCTTCCCCTGCAGCACTTCCCTCACCCCCCATGCCACCAACAACCCCTCTGTTAATGTGGTTTGAGGACCCAGCAATCCCACTTTTGGGTACCTTCCCAAATGAATTTCACACCTGTGTTGACACAATAATCTGTACAAGAATGTTTACAGCAGCCCTATCCACAATCACCCAAACCAGAAACCACCTGGCTGCCCCTCACCAGGAGACTGGCAGGTGCCCACTGTGGGACGCTGCTCAGCAGTAGAGGGTCCTCCATGGGCACACGCAGCAGCCTGAGGACCGTGAGCACTTGTGTGAAGGAAGCCAGACTGGGAAGCCCAGACCTGGGTGACTCATCCGCGTGAGGCTCTAGCAGACAGGCCATGGGGACGGAGGGTGACTCCATCTGCGTGACGCTCTAGTAGACAGGCTCATGGGGATGGAGGGCCCTGGGGAGGGAGACTCTGGGGAACGCCTGCTGAGAGACAGCCTAGGCTGCTCAGTGTGGCCCAGGCGTGGTAGATGCCAATCCCACACTGCTGCACACCCTGGAGCACAAACCTCACTCACAGGCATCAGAACTGCAGCAAGCAGGACATCAGGCATGCAGGAAGCAGGATAGTGAGCAGGACATGAGGCATGCAGGAAACACTGCAGCCCATGATAGACACAGGCAGGACGGCTGGTTCAGGGAGGGGGCAGAGAGGACCTGACCTAAGGGGTGTGTGTTTCAACTGGACACTATACAGTTAGAGACAAAAGCGGCCCTGTGGGCTTGGTTGGTGAGCTCACATCTTACAGGGGTGTGGGGAGCAATTCTGACATGTGAGTAAATCAGAGGTGGCTCTGGGGGATCCTCCCCTACAGGGCCGGGTACGAATAAGTGCAGAGGGACACAGACCTGCAGAGTCAGGTCGGGATGGAGAGGTCCACACGGACGTGCATCTAGTCTGACACAGGACAAACGGAGCATGCACGCCCAGCTCAGCGCATACCAGAGCCCACAGGCTCCCGGCTGCCGGCGCCTGGGCGTGGTGCACCTGGGTGCACTTGAGGCTCCTTGTGGTTTTCCAAAACTGGGACCTAGGCTGCTAGAGAAATGGCCAATTCTAGGGCTGGGGTGAGAAAGCATACAAGATGGGTTTCAAGCATTTTGTAGTGCCAGGAAGTAAGGAAATACTCATAGAATAAAATACAGGATAGGATGTCAGAAGGACACAGGCCCCACAGCTGCAGTAACACAATAAATCTCGAAGAAGGGGCAAACTCCCCTCAGGTGCTTTAACTCCAGTAAGGCAGAACTCCGCAAAGGTAGGAGGAATGGGGGAACGAGAACACCACGGGCAGACGGTAACATCAGTGGTGGGACTCCAGGGCCCCACACGTTCAGTGATTGCTGTGGTGGCTCTCAAACAGGCCCCAGCTTTTTGGACCCTCCTCTCTCCAGGAGGGGATCTTAATTCTCCTCCCCTTGAGCATGGGCTGGACCTAACGGCTCACTTCTAAGGAACGGGGGGGGGCAGGGGGGTTAAAAGCAGTGCCTTGACCTGGCACCCAGCAGACCATAGCTATAAGCCAAGTGGCAGGGCCGACCTTACTGGCCACAGAGGACATCACAGACTAATATGTGAGAAGGGTGATGCCTCCGTGGGCTTCCTCCCAAAGCTCCCCACACCTGTCTCACCCTGAGCAAACAAAGAGACACCCCATCTAAGGGACACTATACCCCCTGGGAAGTACTCTCCAAGAAACCATGAAAACCAAGGAAAAGAGAAATGACTACAGACTACAGGGCCTACAGAGACGGGATAGCCCCGTGGGTCCTGCAGCAGAAAGAGGTGGTGGAAAACGTGCTGCCAAGCTGGCTCACACCTGTAATCCCAGCACTCTGGGAGGCCAAGGCAGGTGCACTGCCTGAGCTCATAGGGAGGCTGAGGCAACAGAATTGCTTAAGCCCAAGAGTTTGAGGTTGCTGTGAGCTGTGATGCCACAGCACTCTACCAAGGGCGACAAAGTGAGACTCTGTCTCAAAAGAAAAGAAAATGTCCCGCCACAGAGCTCAGCACTGTAGGGGGCCACACTCCCCAGGCTGATCTGGGCAACACTGTCCCAACCCAATCTCTGCATGGACTTTGGAGAACCTGCCAAACTGATGCTGGAAATGAGGCCAGACATCCAGGACTAAGAACTGCAGGCCTGGGAGGCCGTGTGAGGGCGGGCTCCGCTGGCCCGGTGAAGGTGATGGGGTGTCTCTGCACGTGGAGGGGCACGGCTTGCACCAGCAGTGGGCCAAGGACCAATCCCACTGCCAAGGAGCTTTTTATTTTGAAACAGTTCTGAAGTCACAGGACAGCCATGAGAGCAACAGGAGGTCCCCTGCACCCCTGCCCACAGTGCCCACCCTCTTGGTGGCACACCCTGTGCAGCTCATGCAGACCCCAGCAGCGCTGCACAACTCTCCAGAGACAGGGTCACCCGCCCATAGCCACAGGGGCCTCATGGACGCTGTGCCTCTTGTGTGGCCATGAGCCGCTGCCCTGTATGGCTCCCATCTGAGAGGCCACAGGTCCTCAGCTACCGTGCCCGAGGGCATGTGGTTACCTGCCCATCCTGGGGGCATGGGCCAAGGGCCTGGTAAAAATGGTGCCTGCCAGGTCCAGCCCAGCAAAGCCACCGCTCCCTCTTGTCTGATTAGTGCACTGTGGGGACATTCCCCTAATGTCACATTGACACCCAGACCCACACACAACCTCTGCCCATCTCTCCAGGGACCCTCCTCCTTCTGGTACAGGGATACGCTTAGAAACCAAGATTGGGTGCCAGTGTGCTCCCTGTCACAGGGCACTACTGCTGCAGATGAATAGGAAGCATACCCACACCCCCATGCCCACCTCCCCCCTACATCCACACACCCACACACACCCCACACATACATCCCCCCATGCAACACACACACCCACGCCCACACACACCCCATGCCCACACATATACCACACACCCACACACCCCATCCCCACACCCTACACACACACATCCCCCGATGCAACACACACCCACGCCCACACCACACCCCCCACAGACACCTACACACAAAATCACACCCACATGCCATACACATATACCATACTACGCATGTGCACACACCACATACAGCATATATGCACGCACATCCCATATATGTGCAAAGCCCCCCACAAACCACACCCCCACCCCGCCCCACTCAGGCAGCTGTCCCATGCACATCCTTATGTGTCTATTGCGAGCCCCAGCAGCTCCCCTGAGCTCTCCCGCTATAGCCCATAGGGTCTTTCTTACCTTCCCCGTGGGAAGGAAAGCCTTGCCCCTGCTATCCTCCAGATACCTACTAACATGCTCAGCCCCCACTGCGTCCGTAGCCACCTGGCATCCCCCACCCCACGTGAGGGAAATGAGACAAGGGAAGGCTGGGCCAAGGTGTGCCCACCTGGAAACAACCACAGTGGGCCCTGGACACACATGGAACAACAGGGAAGCTCCTGCCAGATGAGGAAAAGGCTCCCCAATCCCGATGTAGGTTCCCCGGAAGACACAAAAGCACTCACCATAAAGGTAAAGCCTGGCCAAACTGACTCCATTAAGATGAGAAACTGTCCGTTAAAGACACTTGTAAAAGATGAAAATGCAAAAGCCACCATGCTGGAGAAGTAAGTGGAGACACAGAATGACTGAACACAGGAGGAGCCCCTGCCCGTCAGGGGCAAGCAGGCGAGCCAACAGACACAGGGGGCCCGGCAGCGTCCGAGAGAGGGCTCATCCAATTGGCTGACAAACATAAAGAGGACAGCCCATCATGGAGTGACTGGACAACCCCAGTTAGGCCACACTGAGAAGCAACCATGCCTGGTGGCGCTGAAGGGGTGAGGTGCTCCTGCCTCCGGCATACAGACTGGCACCCTCGGACACATCCCAAGTGCACACAGCCTGTGCCCAGACGCATGTGCACTGGGGCCTGGGAGACCAGGACAGAGGTCCTCTCAGCTGCTGCGTCCCTGACAGCTCCCAGTTAACACTGGGTCTCCACTGGCAGGAGTGCAAGTGGGCAACATAGCACACCTGGGGCGGGGGGACCACACAGACAACCACAACTCACTACGGCAGCGTGCAAAGCCACCACAGAGAGAGGAGGTCGGTCACAGACACAGATGTGGAGGAAGCTATTTCTTAGGGCGCCGTTGTTAAGAAAAAGCAGACAAGACTAGTCTACACTTTGTAGAGATGCATTCAGATGGCAAAGCAAGACCAAGGCATGGTGCTGCCTCCCAGGGCAGGGATACCACCTCCGGGGAGGGGTCAGCAGCCTTACGGGCCCCGTGGGCCTCCTGAATTGCTCTGCTCACCATTCTGCTGGCTGCTCAAGTGCTCACTCAGGAGACATGACCCTCTGTACATGTGTCCCCACTCTTCTGTAAATATGCCACAGTTCACAAGTAAAAAGGTGGAAGAAACCCTGCTGAGGTGGCTGTCAAGGGCACAGGTGCGTCCTTGGCATGAGGGCAGGACTGGGGCGTCCTCCCACCTTCTCTGGACATGAAAGTGACTGCCCTCTTCAAGGGCCACTTGGAGAAACTCTGCTTCCAAACACAGCTGAGCAGAGGCTGGTGGGGCCATGAGCTCTAGTGCAACGTAAACGCACCTGTGCATTCCACAGCCACACACCACCTGCGGACCTCCGACCTCCCTCCTCTGGAGGGGAGGCACCCTCAAACGCTGGCCCCCAGTCTGCCCTCTGAGTGCACCTCCCACTGCTCAGTTTTGGGTGAGCAGGGGACTCCCTCAGGGCCTCCACCTCAGCTGGACACTCAGGAGAAAGGCTTGCAGACAGCACCTCTCCCACACACTGGCACAACGGTGTGGAAGCGATGTCAGTTCTGACAATCAGGAGGCCCCTCTCTGCCTGGAGGGTGAGGGGCTGGGCCTGCCTGGCCCTGAAGTAGCAAGGTCCTGCAAGGCCTGGCAAGCACACAGGCCCTGGGGCCCACCCATTGCGACAGTCATCTTCCGGGTGTACGAACCATGGGAGTTTGGCCATGTCCACTGCCCAGTGTTCCCCAGACTGATGGGGAGGCCAAGACAGGCCTCTTCCTCCAGGGACTGGACCACACAGTGCCCTGGTGTCCCAGGACTGAGTCCAGAGCAAGAGAACAGGCCTGTCCTTCTGGAGTGCTAGGCTGCAAGGGCAGTGGTACATGTGTGCCCTGGGCATGGAGGACAGCAGATCTCAAGGGACAGCAGTAGGCCCGTGAGCAGGCAGAGGCTGCTCAGGGAATGGCACATGGACCTGGTGGACTCCTGGGCTGTTGGCAATGACCCTTATGCAAGGGTATATGTCACTGTGATTGAGGACATAGGCCCCAGAGGAGGACATTCTGCCAGCTCCCACAGGCCCTCTGTGTCCTGCATGCCCTAGCTCTCCTACCCTCTGGCAACTGGGGAAGCCCCTCACTCATCTGCCCCTTCTTGCTACTTCCTGGCAACCTCCAGCCTGCTGTCCAGGCCCTGACAGCTCCACAACGCTGCTGCGGTGAGACACTGGCCAAGCAGGGCAGCCCCTGCCTACTACACTGCTGGCTGCCCTGGGGATCCCAGCCCTACAGCCTCTCTCAGCACTCAAGCACCCAGGCTAACGGGTTCTCCCTGACTGGAGGTGCCAGTGCCCCTACAGCTGCACCCAGGTGCAGAATAGGGGCCAATGGCTGCCCAAACAGGAGCTGGCACCCTGGCCAGGGAGGCTGCCCTGCAGGGGCCATGGTCAGACTGGAACACAGGCCTCTTGGGATGGAGGCAGAGGCTGTACCATGGACAGGCCTAAACTCAGTCTTGGGGGCCCCATGCCAATGAGGACACCTCGCCAGGGCAGGTTCTCAGTCTCTGAGCCTCCACATGTCCCCTCCCCTTCCCCATGGGCTGCTACCCTGCCCCATTCCCCAAGCCACAACCAGTGCCCTTCTGAAGGCCTGGCCCTCTCTACCATCTCCTCAGATGGCCCAGTGTTGGTTTCCTGAGGGCCACTTGGCAGCTCTGCCTCAGTGTGCTGAGCTTGGAGAAGCTGGTGGAGATGGCGGATTCCACCCACCCGCTGCTCACAATGAAGGCAGGGCCTATCCCCTCCACGTGCTACAGCAGTCGGCCCCTCTTGCTCACCCCAGCTCATCACTGGCTCTGGCACACTTAGGGACCCACCTGAGGAGCTGGTGTCCCTGGGGTAGCATCTGCAGCCAGGTCACACACTGGCCCCCATGGCCATCCAGGGTAGCAGCTGTCCTCCGCGTCTGTAGGTTCCAGATGTGCACCAGCCCACTCTGAGACCTGGTAAGATAACACGGGCGTTTGAGACCTGTTCCAGGTAAGCAGGGGTGTCAGCAGGAGGGTGCGGCAGCCACACTGCAAACACAGGCATCTCATTTGGTAGCATTAAAAGTTGGCCATTGTAAGTAGGAACCAAGAGGCACACTAGCAGGGGTCTCTGGAGAGGGAGGGGCCCCCTTGGGAACACACCCAGGGAAGCTCCCTCTGTGTCCCTGCTCCCCCAGCTGATGGGTACCAGGCCCCTCTGCCAGCACTCCCAGACAAGCATGGGCTCTGGGCTGGCCCCTGACCCTGCGGCTGGGCAGCAGCTACTCACCCTGAGAAGAGGAGCAGGCATCCCTGGGCCTGGGCTCCTCTGGAGAAATGCAGCGCATGCACAGGTGACTGGGTGCCTCGGAGGACAAACTGGGGGTCTGGTGCTGGTGGCGGGAGGGGAGTCGCCATGCTGGGCAGGGCGCTGTCACCTGGGCCAAGAGAAGACACGTAAGTGACAGGAAGGCAGCTCAGGCAGGCAGGTGTCTGAGCCCCTGTCCCATGCCCAATCCCCTGCCTCCTGGTGTATGCCCCCTGGTCCCCAACTGCTGCTGAATAGCCCTGTGGCTGCCAAAGGAGCTTTTCCACATGGATACGGAGCCCACACTGCCCCCACTGGTGGGCTTTCTTCTTGCTGTTCCTGCTTGAAATCTAGGACCCCCCCCCAGATGCCAACACTCTTCCCATCCTGACTGTTGCCCTCTGTACCACCCTGGGCTCAACTTGTGCCATCCCTGGGTGGGCCCAGTAGCACCCAACCCTCCCTCAGCCATTCTGGCTCCTGGTACTTGGTGCAAGGCTCCCCACTGGCCTCCAGGACATCCTGTACCGTGCCGCCTTTGTCCTTCAGCCCCTCAGATCCCATTATCCACTCCAGCACTCACCCACTCTGGCCACCCACACACCAGCCCCCTCCAGTGTCTCCTGTGGGAGCACCCCCACCTCAGACAAATCCAGTCTCCTCTCCCAGGTCCCCTCAGGGGTGTGGTTACCTCAAAGGCACCCCTTTTGCCACATCCTCCACTGCCAAGCCCTAGCCCTCCCCTCATGGACCCATCCCAGGAAAAGCTGGACTGGGGCAACAAGTTCAAAACACCTAAGCAATGTCCCTTACAGGTGGCTGGGGCCTAGCAAGCCAGTAGGCTTGGAGTCACATGGATTGGAGGGTGGGCAATGGCCAGATCAGGCTCTGAGTACATGGCCAAAGCCTGGGCAGGGGCCACCTGGGGCCTTGACCAGGCGACGATGGTGGGAAAAGGGCTGGGCCAAGCTCAGGAAGGGTCCAAGGATGGGAGTACAGGGCAGAGGGTCTTCTCTTCCTGTCAAGAAACCTCAGGGGCCACTACTGTGCCTCCCAACCCTGCCACTCTCAAGGGCTCCAAAGAGAACAATGAGGTCCTGCATTGCACTTTACAAACTGCCAAGTCCCATTTCTTTTCTTTTTTTGTGGGCTGGAGGTGGGGATTTCAGCCTAACAACCTCTCTGCCTTTGCCTAAAGCCAACTGATCCTTCCCAAACACAAGGGCAGCTCTCCAGGGAGGTGGAGAGACCTGACCCACACTGCTCACAGGACCCATAGTTGCTGCCGAGCCTGTGACAAGGTCAGGTGTGGCCCGGCTGGCGTGGAGGACAGGTCTTCAGATACCATGGGCTGCTGTGTGGTGCCTGCAGGTAAGAGGGGCAGGTCACCCATGGGCACAGGGCTGCAGGGCCCCAGCCATGAGGAGCCCACAGATGCAGACCCAGGGAGCACCTCAGCCTAGCAGGGATGCTCTGGGGCCAGGATGCTGGTAGCTCTCTACCCTTGGTCCAGAGGCTCTCATGTGCAGTGCAGACGTGAACAAAAACTGGACCTAAACCAGTGCCACACAGGCACATATGTGCACAAAGGCCACAGACACATAACTCATGCAAAGGACACAACCCACAGGCTTACACTCACACACACTGATATATACACATACACATGCAGACACACACTCCCACGCACACACACAGATGCACACACTCTCACATGTGCACTCATGCAGACACACGTACAGATACATGCACACACAGAGATGCACACACTGTCACTCAGACACACATACAGACCCATGCACACACTCTCAGGCACACTCACAGAGACACATACCCACGCACACACACAAATGCAAATTCTCACGTATACACTCATGCAGACATATACACATATCCACATGCGTGTGTGCACACACAAACACACAAAGAGCTCGGTGGCTTCAGGCAGTGCCAGCCAAAGCCTGGCCCCCACTTGCTACCTGCCTGCGGCCTGGCAGGAGTTTCCAGAACCTCACCAGCAGAAGGCTCATTCTAGGGTGATGAAATCAAGTTCTCCTATTGTTTCCCCCAGAACTGCGGGGAACAAACTCGTCACGTTGTTACAACAACCAAAATGCTCAGGCCAAAATGATGCATTGCAATTAAAGGCTCCATCATTTCAAGCAATTAAAATAAGCGCTTTATTTGAAAACTAATTAATTCTACTTACATATTTTTCCCATGACAATATCCTAGGATAGCCTGATTTATGACATCTAATTATTCTTCATTAATCTAATTGAGGATCTTGCCTTCTTCTATTTCAACTGGCCCCAGGCCTTGAGAGCGGAGGCCGAGGACTTGCGCAAGGCCGTGTGCACCACCAGTGGCCTGATGCCACCTGACTGTATCCTCTCAGGGGCAAAGGAACAAGAGATTTGGTCCACAGAGCACACCCTCAGAGTCTGCTACTCTTTTAGATGTCTTTAACACAAAATACAGCAGACAATTGGACCTGACTTTCCAACCCTGACACCCTTCCCAACAAGGAGGCAGGTGCCCCGAAAGCCCTGCAGGCCCTGGGCCGCCCTGCCGGGCAGAGCCCTTACCACATGCCATAGCAGCTTGCTGGCCTCAGGGCTCTCCTCGGACCCGAATCCCCCTCACACACCGGGCAGGCTGGCACTCACCATGGCAATATAAGAAACCCTTCTTTTTTTTTTTTTTTTGAGACAGAGCCTCAAGCTATCACCCTGGTGAAGAGCCATGGGATCATAGCTCACAAGAACCTCCAACTCCTGGGCTCAAGTGAGTCTCCTGCCTCCGCCTCCCAAGTAGCTAGGGCTACAGGCACCTACCACAACGCCTGGCTATTTTTTGGTTGCAGCCGTCATTGTTGTTTGGAGGGCCCAGGCTGGATTTGAACTCGCCAAGCTTAGGTGTATGTGGCTAGCGCCTTAGCCGCTTGAGCCACAGGCGCCGAGCCAGGAACTCCTCTTGAAGGAGGGAGGACAGACACACAGATGCCCAGCGACACACACCTTACCACAGCATGGGGTCTTCATGGGGACAGACAGACCCCTGTGACCCAGGGCAGGTGGGGCAGGGCAGTGGTTGGCACCCAGAAACACTGATCCCTACTCAAGACATTCTTGGGTAGCTGCCCCATGCCTGCCCACAGATGGGCTGTAAGTATGCCTGGGCACCGGCCCTGCCTTGGGCTGCACTACCCATGAGCAGCCCCACCACCAACCTCTGTCCTATTTTTGCTACAGGACCACTGCTCACTGAAGCAGTGTGAGAAACAGCAAAGAACACCAGCAACAGAGCCAACTTGGGGATCCCCTGTGTGGGAAGCTGGGCACCACCCTGCTCACCCCTCCCCACAGGCTGTCGGCACCTCCACAGGACTCTGGCCCCTGCTGGAGGCAGATGAGGGCACAGAAGCCCCCCAAGGGGTCCCTGAGGCCCTTCCACCCCACAACCCGCAACAGCAGGATTGGCCCTCCCTGCTAAAACAACTGAACCTGTTGATAAATAAAAAGGCTGGGCACATGCGCCCACAGCCCCAGGTGGGAGGATCACTTGAGCCCTGGAATTGGAGTTTGCAGTGAGCTACAATCACACCCATGCACTCCAGCCTGGGTGACAGAGCCAGACCCTGTCTCTAAATAATAAAAAAACAAAAACAATCTTTAATGCATCATTAAGTTGGCAAAAAAGTCTGGGATTGTCAGAGGCCTAACTCGAGGTAAAAGCCCAACCCAGCGAGGTCTGTGAGGCCTGCCCTGAGGGCATCTGAGGCACTAGTGACCTGAATTTCTGGTTCTGGTGGCCTCTGCGGCTGCACAAGACAAAGCTGAGGGCCCTCCACAGTGCCCTGTCTCACAGGAGAGCCCCAAAGAAGATGGGACCCACAGGACCAGATGCTCAGTGTCATCTGAACGAGTTAAACCAGAACCCCAGGTGCCAGAAGAACTTCAGCCCTCCAGGATCAGCCCTAAGTCACATCACTTTGGGAGACAAACTTTAGTTGATCTTCTCAAAAGGAACCCATCTTCAGTGAATTCAGACACAAAATCCTAAGAAATTCAGGTTCATGGTCAAAAATAACAAAAATAAACAAGGAAGTGTGACACCATGCGTGAGAGCCGCCAGAAGCAACAGGAAGCAGAAGCAGACCCACCGAGCAAAGTACCGGGCACATCCAATGAAGACGTGTTCTTAAAGAAATAAAGAGAGAGCTGGGAGGATGAAAGGAAGCAAGAGACTGTGAAAATCAGCACGGATATTCATAGAAGGATCCAACCTGGTGAAAGGTGGCTGAGAAATGGGAGATTTGCATTGTGCCAAGGTGTTACTCTCCAGAATATTTACTAATCACAGCAGAGAAATGCACACTTAGAATGGAGACATCTGGCTGTCACCACCTTCACTGCTGGTCGAAGCTGGCACGGCCAGAGGTAAACAAACTGGCGTTACTTGTTTCCTGGTGTGATGCCGTAAGACGACCCCGCTCCATACTGTGCACTGGTGCCAACCATGCTCAGCCCGAATCCAGCTATGAGGAGACAGCCAGATGCAACCAGGTGATGGCGCACCGACACCATCAATCTCAAGAGAAACAACAAAAGCAAAGAGCAGGGCGACTCTTCCAGTGAAAAGAGACTAAAGGGACATCACAGGCAAATGCAGCCCCAGCCTCAGACCCTGGACCAGATCAGAGCCTGGATCCAAAGAGGAGGCTCTGTAAAGAATGTGTGGAGACATTGGGGGACTGCAGAAAACACAGAATTACTAATTTTCTTGGGAAGGATAATAGTATTTTATGTAGAAGAATGTCCTCATTCCTAGGAGATACCTCCTGATGTATTTATGGTGAAATGTCATAATGTCTGCTGTTTTCGAATGTTTCTTGCCCTTGACCTATCTGCAGAAAAATACACAGAGAAGTACTGCAAATGTAGCAGAATGCTGACAACTGGGGGACTCGGGTGAAAGGTATGCAGACGTTTATTATACTATGCTTGCAACTTTTCTGTAGGTTTAAAAATATAAAAGCATGCTGGGGGTGGAGAAAGACAAGTCCACACTGGACTCTTATCCAGAATATTCAGATCAATACAATACAAAAGCAAACACCAGAAAAAA